GGGAAGGTCATTGACCCTTAGGATAAGGTGACCAGATTTAAAGCGAGACACCATTGATGGGGGGTGGGGGTGGGTGTTCTTGATTAAAAATTTGGTCTATATGGACCAAATAGACCATTCCCTATCTTGTGCATTCTTTCCAAAAATCGGGACTTGTTAAAAAACGCCAGGAATCGGGACTGTCCCGCCCAAAGCGGGAAGTCTGGTAACCTTACCGTAGTGTGAAGGCCAAATTCACCTTCTCCTCACAGTTCACCTTCCTCAAGGCCAGCACTTCAGGCACTAAGCAAGTGTCCCCAGCAGTGACCTTGGTAAAGGTTTCCAATTCTCTCAGTAAATATAAGGCAGCCCCCCAAAATGGATTGCTGTCACTCACTGCCATCAAGTGGATTCTGATAGTGATGCTATGGGACAGGGTAGAACTGACCCTGTGAGTTTCTGAGACTGCAACTCTACAGTAGAAAGTGATGTTTTTCTCCCATGAGAGGCTGGTGGCTTTGAACTGCTGACCTTGTGGTTCGCAACTCAATGGGTAAACACGACAACGCCACCAGGGCACCGAATGTATGGCTGCGGTGATAGCATTTCGGGTACCGAGACAGGAAGTTGAGGTGTGCTTTTGGGGGGGTAGGGTGGCATGTCTTTCGGCCCCATCGGAAACTCTGGCACGTGGTGAATCTTGGACAGGGAATCAGGACACCTAGGTCTAGTTCTGCCATCGACCAGCTGTGGCTGCTCAGGAACAAGTGATTTAATTCTCTAGGGCTTTGGTTTCGACGTGTGCAAAATGGGCGGCTTGGCATTCTCCCTATCCCCGCGGTGGGAGGGTGGCAGGGCGCCATGGCCACGTGGCTGTAGGCCTCTCCTGGCCACCGTGCGAGGCTGACCCCCGCCCTTCCCGTCTGCTTCCTCCGCAGAGGAGTACCTCAGAGTCCTCAACGTGGGTGTGGCCGAGGTGAAGAAATCCTTCCTGGGGCCCCTGTCCCCCTCCTGCAAGATGGTGCCGATGATGCGGCAGTTTCTGTACCAGGTGCTGCCTGAGGACTCTTACAAGGCCGCCAACGGGAAGCTGCACGTGAGCCTCACCCGGCTCACAGACGGAGAGAACGTCGTGGTTTCGGAGTACAAGTCCAAGGAAGAGCTCATAGAGGCAAGGGGCTGAGAGGCGGGGTCTTGGATGGGGCGGGGCCTGGCCCGGGAGGCGGGGTCTGAGTGGGGGCGGGGTTTTGTCCCGGGGAGGCGGGGTCTGCGTATGGAG